TGGCAAAACTGGAACATGTGCCGCTCACGCCCTAGACCATGTTCCCAATGCCACGGATGTCAGCGCTGTTCTGGGAATGAACATTATCTCATGCTTCTCCTGGTGGCTGCCTGTGCAACTGCAAAAGCAAAACTCAGGACAGCACAATTGCTTTTTTTTTTATTATTTTAAATAACCTTCCTAAGATTCCCAGAAGGAAAATTATTTTATATAACCTTCCTAAGATTCCCAGAAGGAAAGTCATGTTGGTTTGTAACTGTAAAAACAATGATGAGTCTTATGGCACTTTAGAGACTAACAGATGTATCAGGTCATGAGCTTTTGTGGGTAAAACCCACTTTATCAGCTGAGTTGGAGTGGAAATTACAGACCCCAAAATATATATAACAGCAGAAGTTGCCTGTCACTTGTAGGACCAGTGTTAACGAGGCTAATTAAGTCAGGGTGGAAGTGGTTCATGCACAGCATTTGATATGGAAATGTGAATATCAAAGGTAGGGAAAATTGCCTTTGTAGTGACTTGACCAGTTCAGAGCTTGTTGATAGTACTGAAAGTGTAAATGAACTCCAGTTCAGCTGTTTCCATCTGTAATCATGTGATAAAGTTCTTTTGTAGAAGGATGGCTACTTTTAAATCCATTAGTGAATGTCCAAGGAGGTTAAAGTGTTCCAATACAGGTTTCTGTGTGTTACAATAGCTCGCACTTTCTAAGATTGCAAGTCTTTCTCTGAGGAGTTTGTGTGGGTAACTTTGGGAAGTATCCAAGGGGAAACTGATGGGTTCCTCTTTGCCTGTTGCTCTGATGTTGGAAATCCCTAAAGCTGGGTGTTTGCAGCCTTCCCGTGATATGATGCTTTCAGCCTTTTTGGCTTCCATAAGAAGGACTGGGAAACGATAGTTTATATTTCAAATCCGGTCTTGGGAGACACCGCAAAGCTCCAATCCGCCTGGCCAGGACCGAGTGCGGAGCTGTGCAGTGGAGGCTCTACAGATCATAGCAGGGAGGGATCCCTGTGGTGGTGCAAATGGGTTTTCCAGATTTGTGTGGAAGGAGCTGTACAATACACAGCCTCTCTCTCACCTCCCCCTTTGCAATAAGGATTCTGTGCATTCACATGGAACTGTGCAGGCAAAAGGCCCCGTGAGCTGAAATGTTCAAAGGAGCCTAAAGATGATAAAAGCCCAGCTACAGACATAAAGTCCTGCAGCTACCCCAGCTCTTAGAATAGTGTTAGCCCTCTTTTAGAAGAGGGTAAACTGAGGCAGAGAAAGGATAAGCTCTTTGAAACAGGGACTGTATATAGCACCTAGGACAATGGGGGTCCTAGTCCATGACGTGGCATCCTCAGTGCTGCTGTCATACACCTCATAAATAATGAGAAGTTTGGGCCAAATTTTCAAAAGTAACCTCTAGTTTTGGGTGACACAATTGAGACGCAATAGGGTTGAATGCCAAGTGTCCAGAACTGCAGTTAAAATTAATGGGAACAACAAGAGCTCAACCCTTCTGCAAGATAAATACTTGGGCATGAATCAAGCCATTCAGTCAAAATGGATAGATGCTTGAAAAAATATAGTCTAAGTGAGTTGCCCAAGGTTTCCGAATGCGTCAGTAGCAGAGCCCACAAGAGACTTCAGGGCCCCCCCTTTTCCCAACACACTAGGCCAGAGCCTTGGCCAGTTGACTGTGGTGGAGCAACACCTGTTAATATTTAGCAAGTTTCACATGGTGCTCGCATATCACCGAGTGTGGGCTTTCTGTGTGCTCTCCATCCAAGTGCAGATTTCTTTTCTAGGCAACTCTGAATCTAAATGTGACTTTTCCTGCCTTTAGCAACAGTATTTGTAATTGATCACGGTGGATCAAAGCAGCACATTTACTGTTAAAGTGTTGGGCTTTGTTCACTTTTAAGCAATTAAACTTGAGGCGAGGGAGAATTTCACAGCTGTGATGGGAACTATGTACTTTTATACTGTGGACAAGACAAAGGATTTCTCCTGGAAGCTTCATATACACTTCCATTAGCTTGTTAATCACTTGCCACAGCAGATTCTTTTTTTTCCCAGTCAGCCTGAGCTGTGGGCTTGAATTTCTGAGCGTCTTGCTGCCCTCCTGCCCTCATGGAGGCTGAAAATGTGAAATCCATCTGGCCCTGTTGTGACTCATCTCCTGCCCCCAGTGGATTTCATCTAAAGGAGAAATCCAGGTTGAGCAAAGAGCGAGTGCACACAGACAACTGGGGAGATCCCTTCTAGGACTTCTGCTCTTGGGGGGAGGGGGCTGAAAGATGGGAGGAAGGCTAGCCCAAGGGCTTGCATGCTCACCTAGGACTTGGAACAGCTGCGTTTCATCTGCTTGCCAAAGGTCCGTCTGTGTGTGACTCTGAGTAAGTCACTTGGAGTGTGTCTACCATGGGTGAAAAAAAGGTTGCGGGAGGTAAGCCCTCAGCCCCGCCCCTTCGGACCAGGCCCCGCCCCCAGCACCACAAGGAGGTGGGGCAGTGCGTGGCCCCAGACTCCTCCTCCCCAGAGCAGCGGGGAGGCAAGAGGGTGAATGGTCCCAGACTCCCAGCCCAAGAGCCTGGGAAGGGCAGATGCCCAGGGAGGTGAGAGGGTGAATGGTCCCAGACTCCCAGCCCAAGAGCCTGGGAAGGGCAGATGCTGGGGGCACAGCCCTCTGCCCCTAGTACACCTACAGCAGGCATTCTGGGGGTGGAGTGTGGGTGGGGCCATGCTGGCGGTTTGGGAAGGCGATGCCTCCCCCTGCCTATGATACCTGCCGCCCCAGTGTCTAGACTGCAATTGGTGTTGTGATTGTGGCTACGCCTAGATTGCAGGAATTTGTCGGCAGAGGCGATGCAAATGAAGCGCTCGTTAGCAGTTCTTGCGCTCTCATTTGCATCATTTTGCGGAAGAGGTTTTTGCAGAAAAAACCACAGTGTAGACGGGGCCTCAGAAAAGCAGGAATACAGGATCTTGCGCAAAAGAGGTTTTTGCCCCGTCTACACTGTGGCTGCGTCTAGATTGGCATGATTTTCCGGAAATGCTTTTAACGGAAAAGTTTTCCGTTAAAAGCATTTTCAGAACAGAGCGTCTAGATTGGCACGGACGCTTTTCCGCAAAAGCACTTTTTGCGGAAAAGCGTCCGTGACAATCTAGACTGCCAACAGAGTCCTGCAGTCTAGACATAACCACTGTGTGAGGGGGTCACTCACCACCGTAGCGGGGGTCCGTCGTCTGTCCCCGGAATCAGTCCATTCCGCCCGCACAGGCCTCCGCTCACGTGGCGTTTCCCCTCTGGAATCTTCTAGTCGCGTTGCTCTCTTCACCACACTGCCCTCCAGCAGTGCCCAAGTCACTCGCTCTGAGCCCCCCTTCCGGGGGATTGGTGTCTCTCTAGCCGGCCTGTCCGCAGGCCTAGCAGGCTGGCCAGTTGGCCGTCCGAGCGCCCTGGCCCAGCCTAACTCTCTAGCCCTGCCCTAGCTCCAGAGAGCGTCCTGCTCCCTCAGCAGCCAGGCTCACACTGCCTGGGCTGAAGCAGCCCCGCCCTTTTATAGCCCCCAGCTGGGCCTTAATTGGCCAATGCCGCCCAGCTGGGCTGAACTCCCCGGGCCTGCTCCAGGCTGGGGTTTGGCTCTTAAGGGGCCAGTACAGGGCAGCTGCCCTGTTACACACTGTAAGAGAAAATAGACAGGCATATGCCAGCTTTAATTTAGTTGGCATGGGTACCAGTTAGTGGCATGGGCTGGGTTCCCTAGGGAGGTGGTGGAATCTCCATCCCTAGAGGTTTTGAAGTCCCATGGCTGGGAGGACACTAGAGTAATAAATAGTCATTAGTACCTGTGGCCGGTACTGAGAAATATGATGCACAAATCCATTGTGTGATTATATGAATTTCAGGCCCAGCTCCTTTTTAGGCCTTCAAGACCCGCTGGTGTAGATTAGCCTAACCTCAGCCCAGGCGTGTGAGTTAAGGCACAAAGCAAATCATGCCTAAAATGCAAAGACGGGAGCTATTCCCCCCTCCTCTCCTCCCATTGCCACATGCTAAATTCTGCAGCGCAGCCTGGAAAGATGCAGCCGTCGCTGGTCCACAGCCGGACCTTCAACTGCACGCACATTTGTAACGTTCCTTGGGTGCTCAGTGGGAGGGCGCATTTTAAAGACGCTGAAAAACTGAAACTAAAAATATGACTCTTCTCTAGCCAAGGGCGATTTTTAAAAATGAAATAGACCAAAATTTTAAAAAACGATTTAAAATATGTTTCACGTAAAGGATCGTTTTTAAACCCCCAGAAATGTCCTGTTTGTAAAGGTCTGGCCACGGTGCCTTCGGCATTCATATTGGGATGGCGAGTTGGGGTTCCCCCCCAATCCTGCACCCCCGTAGCAGCAGGAACAGACTCCACCAGCCAGTAGAATAGAGAGAGTTTATTGCTTCTCCAGGATACAGCACAGCATAGATGTCATCTGGTTACAGGAATTAGGGGCCAGGATGCCTCAGGCCCCCTTGAGATGTGGATGACTGGGCCCCCTCAACCTCAGCTTCCTCCTTAGTCTCCCTCTTTCATAGCTTCACCCCGAAACTGCCCCTTCCCCCGAGCACACACCTCTTCTGTCCTGTCTCTTCCCTTCACAAGTAGAACCTGTTTGGCCACTGCCCTAGGGCCTCAAGGCATCCTTCTGCTGGGCCATGCTTACAGACAGCCGCCAGCGGGGGCGATCCACAGCCCACAGCCCCAGCATAGCAACCAGCAAGGTACTGACACTACAAAGTGACTTGCTCAGCAGGCTAGTGGGGGAGTTGGAACAAGACCTTCTGGACTCCGTGTGCTGATTTGGCAAAAGCAAACTTTGCCTTCCCTGTGTCAGTTTATTCAGCTGGGAAACAAGTCAGGCGGAGAACCCAGGTACCAAGCTTCCAGATCCCTGCTCTAACCATTCCAGCCTGTTGCCTTGCCGCAATGCATTCCTAAAACACCCTTTTTTTAATCCTCAGAGCATGAACATCCACGTGGAGGACATACGGTTCCGCGGCATTATCGCTGCCTACCGCAAGCGCCTGCCTGTGACAGAGGGCTACGTGGAGGTGAAAGACGGAGGGGTCTGGAAGCAGATCTGTGACAGACACTGGACCGCAAATAATTCTCGGGTTGTCTGTGGCATGTTTGGATTTCCGGGCGAGAAGAAATACAACGCCAAGCTCTACAAGTAAGAAGGGAGCTTTTCATAAATGCTGGTTGTGTTGCACGAACACTCGGGCCTTGTTCAAAAAAATGCCAATTTCAAATGATTGCAGAGCCTCTAGAATTGCACATACCTCCGGCAATTACTTCATTCCTTTGGATCAGCTTTTGATTCTGTGTAAATATTTTAAATGCAAGGCACTTCCTCTGGAAACCAGGGGTACAGATGGCCAGTTTGAGCCCCATCTTTTGGAGATGATCACGTGTGACACCAGTTTAAAGTCAGACAAAAAGAGGGACTTGAGCCACTAAGTCCTTCTATTTCCAACTGTTTCATAGACCCTTTTCTTTCTTTCTTTCTTTCTTTCTTTCTTTCTTTCTTTCTTTCTTTCTTTCTTTCTTTCTTTCTTTCTTTCTTTCTTTCTTTCTTTCTTTCTTTCTTTCTTTCTTTCTTTCTTTCTTTCTTCAGAGTTTAAGGTACTGGCATGGGCTCTGTGCATGTGTGTGGCTACGTCTACATTGCCAGGGTTTTTGCGCAAGAATTCCTGTGCAAAAACGTCTTGTGCAAAAGTGCATCCACACCTCAAAGCGCATCGCTCTTGTGATGCGCTTTTGCACAAGAGAGCATCCACACTGCACAGACACCCTTGCACAAGAAAGCTCTCATGGCCATTCATAGAATGGCCATCAGAGCACCTGTGTTTTTTCGGATAGGCTCTTGTTGCACAGGAAACCCCTGCGGAGCGTCCACACTTGCCTTTTTGGGCAAGAGCTGTAGCGCAAAAAGGAGTTATGCCTAGTAGAAGGAGGTTTACTTACACCGCAAAAAGCCCTCTGTTCTGTCGATTGATTGTAGATTTTCTTGTGCAAAAACACGCTTGAGGTATGGACGCTCTATGGGTTTTTGCAAAAAAATGGCCATTTTTGCACAAGAACCTTGTAGTATAGACGTAGCCTGAGTGTAATGTATGTATATGACTTTGGACACAGATCTTCATGGAGACCCATCAGCCACAATGAGACCCCAAGCTGGAGTAAAAATCCATCTGCACAAATTCAGTTGCAGGATCGGGACCGGTGCATGCAGTGACATCAGTTTTAACGGGTTGGAACGGCAGTAAAATGGGTCTCTGTTTTCTCTCACAACACAAGAGCCCTCATTCGCAGGCCTGCCTAGAATTCATGGTCTCTTGCCTAGGATAAAATGTTTATCCAGAGCTCACCAAGCTTCTCTGGCATTTGCCTCTGACCTGGGCTCACCCTGTGTAGTGCCCGAGTGTCTGGCTGCCAAGGCAGCGAATTTGAGGCCTGTAAGTCAGTTGCTGGCCAGGGGCTGTCTGCGCTGGAGAAGTTGGCCAGTAGCTTTCCCACCGAGGCCGTGAAATCTGGCGTCCCCCTGTGAAATCTGGCCTTTTGCTTGTTTTCACCCATGGGGTGCTGATTTCACGGGGGAGACCAGCGTTTCCCAACTTGGGGTCCTGACCCAAAAGAGAAATGCGGGGGGATCACAAGGTTATTTCAGGTGGGTCACGGTGTTGCCCCCCTTGCTTCTCGCTGCCTTCAGAGCTGGGCAGCTGGAGAGCTGCAGCTGTAATGTTGGCCCAGCTCTGAAGGCAGCACCCGGCCAGCAGCAGCACAGATGTAAGGGTGGCAATACCGTGCCCATGTCGGCCTCACTTCTGCACTGTTGCTTTCAGTGTTGGTGGCTGCTGACTGAAGTCTGGTCTACACTAGGCCCTTAGTCTGAAATTAGCCCCCACAATGCGTCCACACTACCAAGCCCATTATTCTGCAATATTCTAACTCTGTACACCTGCTTTTCACAAGGAGGAATGCTCTTCCTGAACTTGTAAGTTCAAAATAACATGAGTTTTTTAACAGGAAGTTTTTCTTCACTTAGCGTACCATCAACCTGTGGAACTCCTTGCCAGAGGATGTGGTGAAGACTAGGACTTTAACAGGGTTCAAAAAAGAGCTAGATAGATTCATGGAGGTTAGGTCCATCAATGGCTATTAGCTAGGATGGATAGGAATGGTTTCCCTAGCCTCTGTTTGTCTGGGAATGGATAACAGGAGAAGGATTGCATTAGGATTACCTGTTGTGATCCCTCCCTCTGGGGCATCTGATGTTGGCAGACAGGACATTGGGCTCCAGGGATCTTTGGTCTGACCAAGTATGGCTGCTCTTATGTTCTTATGAGTGTGGACACTCCAGTGCCACTATTTCAAACTTATTGGCCACCAGGAGGCCTCCCGAAGCTCCCTAGAGTGTTTCCTGGGAGTCTGAAGTAGCCTGTCCCCATTAATAGAACCTGCCTGGGACTGTGTTCCATGCTTCCCCGTAAAGAGGACACGAAACTTCAAATGTGTAAAATTGAGTGCCCACGTGTCGAATTTAGTAAATTCAAAATAATCTCCTAGTGTAGCCATGGCCTAAGGGCCCAGCTCTGCAAGCAGCTGCACAGAAGTTAGGGTGACAACACCATACGATGCCATTCTTATTTCTGCTCCGCTGCTGGTGGCTGCTCTGTCTTCAGAGCTTGATTCGTAGCCAACAGCCGCTGCTCTCCAGCTGCCCAGCTCTAAAGGCAGTGCTGCTGCCAGGAGCAGCGCAGACATAAAGGTAGAAATACTGCAATGCCTCCAATCATTTTGTGACTCCCCTCACACCTCGTTTTTGCGTCAGGACCCCTACAATTACAACCCTGAGAAATTTCAGATTTAAATAGCTGAACTCATGAATTAACATTGTTAAAATCTCTGGCTGGTGAAATTGACCAAAATGGACGGTGAATGTCGTAGGACACAGTGTTTAAGTGTCCCTAATGTAAACAGGGTGTTACTGCCACTCAATCGTGTGCTCACTTGCACGGGTCACGGAGAACATAGAATGAGGGAGGAGAATGGGAAAGGGTTCAGAAAAGGGCAACTAAAATGATTAGGGGTTTGGAACGGGTCCCATATGAGGAGAGGTTAAAGCGACTGGGACTTTTCAGTTTAGAAAAGAGGAGACTGAGGGGGGATATGATAGAGGTCTATAAAACCATGAGTGGTGTGGAGAGGGCCGATAAAGAAAAGTTATTTATTAGTTCCCTAAATAGAAGAACTAGAGGACACCAAATGAAATTAATGGGTAGCAGGTTTAAAATTAATAAAAGAAAGTTCTTCTTCACACAGCGTGTAGTCAACCTGTGGAATTCCTTGCCAGAGGAGGCTGTGAAGGCTAGGACTAGAACAGAGTTTAAAGAGAAGCTAGATAATTTCATGGAGGTTAGGTCCGTAAAAGGCTATGAGCCAGGGGATAAAATGGTGTCCTTGGCCTCTGTTTGTCAGAGGCTGGAGAGGGATAGCAGGAGACAAATTGCTTGATCGTTGTCTTCGGTCCACCCTATCTGGGGCACCTGGTGCTGGCCACTGTCGGCAGACAGGCTACTGGGCTAGATGGACCTTTGGTCTGACCCAGTACAGCCATTCTTATGTTATGTTAATGCTGATCACTGGGAAAAAACCGGCAATGACCTTTTGGCTGCATGCAGAACAAAACTAGCAGAAATTCTGACTATCCCCTGCAAGCTAGTGTGCTGCAGATCTGTTTTTGTCTCCTGCTAGTAACATAAACACATTTCACTCTTTACAGTTCACAATAAATAGGCAATAAGGCAGCTGCAAAATAACTTATGCTAAGAAATCATCCAGTTTCTCCCCCAAGTGCATGATCTATGGAGCTGGATTAGGCTGGTGGGGGCGGGGAAGAATGATATTTGTAAGGAGGAATAGTAGTTGTTTTTCCTCCCCTCACTGGAGGGCCGTTTCTCCAGGTTCCTGTTGGAGCTGACCGGCTGGCTGGGTTTCATGTTTCTCATTAGTAAGATGAAGATGATCAGTTGAAAAGGTCCTGAGGGCGGAATACTGGAAAGTGGAAAAGCTGCACAAATATAAAACCCAAACTAGAAGTTTTGGTTTCCGGCTTCTAAGGAATACGAGCAGTGAAGTAGTAATTGCTACCAGGTGTCGCTTGTTTGGTTCTGGACTTTGGGAGTAAGGGAACACGTTTCCATCCATGCCTGTTTTCCCTCCTGAGTGAAAGAGGTAGCTCAGCTCGTAATCATTATTGTGCTCCAGTCCTGTACGTCAGAACCACATAACCAATTTGCTGTAAAAAAAACCAAAGCAAATCCTTCCCATTCTAATGGCTGGAAGTAACTGTATTTACGAAATGATGGCTTGGTAACTTTCCTTTAACGCCACAGTAGTGCATGTGCAAGGCAGTCTCAGCTAGATTAGATATTAGATATTTTCCTAAGCACTGGAACAGGTTACCTAGGAAGCATGTGGAATCCCCATAGCATCACAGAATCATAGAATTGGAAGGGACCTTGAGAGGTCATCGAGTCCAGTCCCCTGCCCTCACGGCAGGACTAAGCACCAGCTCTCCATGTTCTGAAGCAGTAGGCATTATATTGGCTACTGCAATAGCGAACTAGCCACACTCAACCGGCCAAATAGCCACATGTGGCTGGCGGCTAGCGTGTTGGACACCATGGATAGATCATCCCTGATAGATGCCTATCTGCCGTACTCTTAATATCTCCAGTGATGGAGATTCCATGTCTCCCCTCTTTCTGTAGTGCTCTTTGCTAGTCCCATTCTGTATGTGTGAACCTGATTGTTCTTTCCTAAGTGGAGCACTTTGCATTTGTCTTTATTAAACTTCATCGGCTGTGTCTAGACTGGCCAGTTTTTCCGGAAAATCAGCCGCTTTTCCGGAAAAACTTGCCAGCTGTCTACACTGGCCGCTTGCTTTTCCAGAAAAGCAATGACGATCTACTGTAAAATTGTCAGTGTTTTTCCGGAAAAAATATGCTGCTCCCATTCGGGCAAAAATCCTTTTCCGGAAAAACTGTTCTGGAAAAGGGCCAGTGTAGACAGCACAGTAGTCTTTACCACAAAAATCCCCAATCGCGAAAATGGGCTTTTTTCCGGAAAAGCGCATCTACATTGGCCACGGACACTTTTCCAGAAAAAGTGCTTTTCCGGAAAAGCGTCCTGCCAATCTA